TTCCTACTGGGGCGAGATGGCCCAAGTAGTTAGAGCACGAATTTATCGACCGGAAATTCCGTGGTTCGAATCCTACCTCCGCCTCTCGACTTCCCGTCTAGGCTTGGGCAACCTGGTAGCATCCCAGCCCTCGTGCTTCCTTCGGGTGGCATGGCAGCTAGGCTGAACGCTTTTCTACTGGGTAGTTGTTTTGCTCACAACGAACTAAGTATCCGTTTTGGATTAATATGCCCCGGTTTTCAGAGTTTTATCCAAGCTGGCTCTCATTGTTCTATCGGCCAGGTGTCGTACAATGTTGCTCTTCTGGTTTAGGGGAACAGAGCTCTAAATTGGCGTAATGTCCATTCCAGGCCAGTTTCCTAAATAATGTTCTCTGAGGTACCATCGTTTTTTCTAGTTATCTCAATGTCTAAGAACCCCTTCTGGCTTTTTGGCTCTAGAGTGAATTTGATATTCGGGTGGGCTTGGTTGAATTTTGTCGGAATCTCATTGGAACTAAATCCATTTTGGGGTAAGGTAACTATGTCATCGACGCAATGTCCATGGATGGCAAATTTTCTCAGTATAAAGTTCAGTTACTGTTCCCCAAACTCTCACATGAATACATCAGCCAACAATGGGTCAAAAAGAGACCCCATGGTGACGCCGTCTATCCGTCTATGGTTTTGAGTGCTGGATCAAAACACATGGTCAAAAGTTCTTTTAGGTCATCTGTTGGGATACTATTGGCCTTAGTGTAATCACACAGATGGGCGAGCCGTTGTTATCAGCGATTGTTTCAGTCACCGGAGGTTCATATGGCTCGTTGCGCGTACCAGCTGGTACAGTCTACGCATTCTCAGTTTATCAGCTCCTCCATCTCTTAATCTGTCTGGGTCCACTAAAATTCGCGATTCGCACGAAAGCTCACTTCACCTGAAGTCTCGTTCAGCTGTAGCACCATTTCTGTGCCTAACTGCCATGTCACATGAAGGGTGAACGAGGGCTGCGATACTGCCAGGTTGCCCAAGCCTAGACAGGGAAGTTGGAAGGCAGAGGTCGGGTTTGAACCACAGACCTTCCGGTCAGTAAATTCGCGCTCTAACCACTTGGGCCATCTCGCCCCTCGCCTGAAGTCTGATAGTTCATCGAGAGGTGTTTCACTCAACCAGGAGGTATACGTTTCTGGGCTTTGACGTCGGTGTCGTTCTTGTCACTTATTATCCAGACTGTCTGAATGAGTGCCTGGAGGTGAAGGCCCCTGGGAATGATTGTGGCAGGCTAGCACCAAGTTCCTTTCCTATCCCTTTATATCCTTGTTTTCAAGACAAGGATTTCAAATGAGTTATGGTTTGAGCACTGGTACTTTGCCTTTGATAATGAATTTGATGATTAGTCTTACCAGAGGTAGATAGTTTTCTACAGCTATGGCTGAGTGTTGAAGGGACAGGCACCTTGGGAGTTTGTGGTAGGCTAGCGCTAGGTCCACCTCCCTATCCAATTTCTTCCTTCCATTACAAGGCTTTATTGAAATAAGTTGACATGGTTTTACGACAGTGAACCATCAGTGTTCTCATCTGGTGTTATTGTCAATGACGATGATAGCTAATGACTTCACAATCGAGAGATCAGTACGGCATAATGTGTTAATAGTGTTATTATAATCGTCCAGCCGTAGCACACTTTCGGTGCCTTTTGATGCCATGCCACTCGAAGGAAGCGCGAGGGCTAGGATACCGCCGAATCGCCCAATTCAAGATGCAGAGGTCGGGTTCGAATGACGAACCTTCTGGTCAGTGAATTCGCGCCCTAACCACTGAGCCGTTAGTAGGGTTATCACTTATTGGACAGAACGGCTTCAGCTGAGTGAAAATAGTTGCAGTGAGGTCGCGCGCAAGATTGGACACAGACGAGTATTTGGTGCAATTCCAGTTAAAGTCCTTTAGGTAGATAATCGTTTAGCTGTAACACCTTTTCGATGCCTAGCTGCCATGCTACCCGAAGGGAGCATGAGGGTTTGGATACTGCCAAGTTGCCCAACCCTAGACAGGGTAAGTCGACAGAGAGAGGTCGGGTTCGAACCACGGAGCTTCCGGTCAGCGCTCTGACCGCTGAGTCACCCATTTAGGTGTTGGCTTCCTAACGGTTTTGTTGAGTTATACTATGGCAACTGTATCCGTGGCCCTTAAAGATGGATTTGATATGGTGATATTTACTATGTTCTAGATCTTACAAACGAAAGTCACGATAGCGCCATACTATCTTCGGTGTACCACTGTATTACTCTCAGAACTAGAAGTATATTACTGTTTGCTCGTATGATCATTATGGGTTGTTCACCTGCGAGAGAGATTGCCTATCCCAAACTAAGGTCACTCTGGGTGGCCATTGTGCCAGAAAAATTAAGTGTGGACCATTATAGATGTATGCGATGTGCATTCATACCGACATGAAGCTTTCTATTTTCGAATCAATAGCTGCCTGACTACCCGAAGGACGGCAGTGTCATCAACCATGTAGTTAATAGAATTCCACCCATTTTGTGCGCTAGTGCACGGCTTCTGGGAGCATTTGCATAGTACTATGTTGAGAGTGCGCGACTACGTTGAACCTAGGAGGATCTGGCAGTTGAGGCCAATATCTCCATGACAAACAAGTGATTGATGTTGACATTCGTTGTTGTACCTTGTTTGGGTGGCATGTTCCTCCCGATATTATTCGCCAGGATCAACGTCGCCAGGGCTTTACACGTGGAATCGGCTTCGCACAAATCGTCTGTGGTTGTTCAATTGTGTTCAGTGGGCAAACCAAGGTTGACCGGCAAATAGGATTGGGATATGTCTATACATAAACATAGCTCCATTCTGTCTGCGTGGATGTTACCGCCGCTATAATTAAAGTGCTGCACAGTAGATCGGTAGACTGATTCCTTAAAGTACGCTCGGATTCTCGAAGGTGGATTATTTCACCTCAAACTTTATATTTCAATATGTTTGTAGTTGCGGTGTTATGTACGTTTGCGTGTACGTGCTTCCTAGAATTTTGCAATCCACTTTTATAACTTATACAGCTTCAACGACGAGCCGAGTTATCTTCCCCACTTCAACCCGGCATCGTTCTATACACTCGAAATTCGCCTCGGGATGCACAGAGAGTCATTTTAACTTAATAGCACCCTCTAACGTCATGAGATCTGTCCTACTTGTTCAATTTTCCCCCTCTTCAGCTTTACATATCCATGAATCATCATGCACCGTCGTCCTCTGACGCGAATTGAACTCGGCCTCCAGGACATTGCCGAGTTCAAAAAATTCATCGACCTGCAAAAAGCAGAAGAGCCCACGAAAGCTGAAGATACCAAAAGCGGTGCTGCGAATGGTACCGGAGATGCAACCTCAAATGAGAGGGAGAGGCGGAAGCAAGCAGTCCGACATCGCATTGGTAAACCCAAATATCGTTTTATTCTTGCTTCGTTTATACAGGTCTTCCTACGGATGGATGAATCTTGTTAGCAAATCGCTGGCGCTGTGAATACACTCTATTTGAAGTCGACAATACAATTTTTCCTATGAACGATTTCTGTATCCGGTTGGGTCTACGAAAGTTCCATCTATAGCACAAGGTTTAATGAAAGCCCCAAGCAATCTGTGCAAGGAAACCGAAGTTTGGACCTAGTTCGCGTTCCTTATGGTCAATCTCTGCCGAAAAGCCCAGAATCATTATGTATTCTTAGCATTCTTATTCGGTACTACCGTCTTTCATATCAGCTGATGGAAAGTATACTTCACTCGGTGCCCGTAATGTCCATGAAAAGGGGCATTCACGGCACTCGTTAGCTGGATGCGCAAGCGTTGTTTTATACTCCACAAGCAACCTTCCCTTAGCAATGTGCTTTTGGATTATTCTAGGACAGAGTGAATTTTAAATAGTCTGTTCGCATTCTGATTGGTCCGAACGGCAGACATAACCGAGATTCGGATGAATTCCCTCTTTGTGAATATACAACGTAATGGTTGCCTTCGGTATCAGTTAGGACAATATTCAAAATATTGGAGTGTTTTCTTAATACACAGTATTGCACAAGGTTAATGTCAGCTGACATTGAGATGGGTGCACAAGAATTTATTTTTGACGCCAGACTCGTCTGAGGCTCTCGTTTATGGTGATTGAAGAGTTTTCGGCAACGTCGTGAGTGATGTTGGGAGGCAAGTCATGAACAGTTCCCATCAAAGATGGTGCTAAAATTTCTAGTGATAAATTATTTCCAGGGGAGTGGGGAGGAAGGTAGCTCGAGAGGGGCCTATAGAAGTCCCAACAGGCGATCCTGGGGAGCCTCCTGTGAGTATATGTCCGCACAACATTCCTGTATTCATTATCGCGTCGCCACTGCACCCAGAGTAGACCACCCACCAGGACTGGGTGGTACGCATTCGGGACGCTCGGATAACGTAAGGGTATATAGCCTTTTCGACCGGTCATGCAACAAAATAGATTGAGCCCTACTCACATAAAAAAGTAATAGGCGATTTGTGATTGGACGAACGTCGGTATGAGTTCAGCCTGTTATGTGGTAATCGGGCGTTTTTACGGATGAATTCCCCTCTTTGTCGTTCGCCGAAATGACGATTTTTGGGCAACATGTGTAGTTTAAAACACAGAGTACCTCAAGGAATTATTGAGATCTGTTGCTCAACTGAACAGGGTTCGTGTGAGAGCCTTTTCCTGGTACTGAGAGAAGAGATTAAGCGGGCATATGTGCAGCTCTGTGCTCCTTGGATATTGGCACTGAATTCACTTAACCATCGTTTGTTCGTAGGGTGCATAATCTGAGGGTGGGTAGAAAGAGTTTCCACATCCCCGTTGGATCCGCTTTTTGTTTATGGCCCAAATTTCGACTAAAACTATCTCGAAGGTAGATGCCCTCAAGTTGTTTCTTATGACGAGAGAGTATTGTATCGAGAACGATGTGATTGAAGTTCGCAGAACCTGGAGTGCGGAGTAAGGTTTCGCGATGTTTATGAGAGGAATGAATGGTGCGAAGTACTTCGTAAACCGCTGTCCTTAAACGTACGATTTTCATGTATAAAAGTGAAAATGTGCCACATGTATTTTACGTTTTATTCACAAAGTTACATTAGCTAAGAGCTTGGTGCGAGTGATATCATTTGCGGACCCCGCTCTTTCGTCTTTCAATTCCTTTTGGTTCAATCGGAACATTTCCCGGTGGGGATACAAAATAACCCTCCCAGATGACAGGAGCACCATTCACAATGCACTCCGCCAACCTAGGGTCGACAGTTGGTACATCATCATCCAGTGGGCAGCTGTAGTTAGGATCCATTGCTTCTAAAAGACTGTACATAGGGGCTACGGTAGCTCGTGACAGCCGTCCGTTTTTCGTTGTACCTTGGAAAGCAATGTCTGTCAAAAGAGGATCAGCGTAGCGAATCGCTTCTTCCAAAATATCCAGACATTTCTAAGTATTCACGGGGAGAGAAGAGAAAAAAGTTCGATTAATTAATCGACTGCCAACTATGTTGAGCGACGTTCAAAACAACGACTGTCACCTTAGCAGACCTACGGGACATTCCCCACATTTGAAATCATTCATAATATCGACTTCCCACAACCAGATGAGCAACAAAAACTTAAGGGAAAAACGGAATCGAAGTGCTGGGTCTCGCTTACACTAGTACTTGGTGGTAGTGGTTAATCAGGTGAGTTTCGATCGGTTTGCCGAGCTTAGGAGTCAACCTGCGAACGTTTTATCACCATTCAAGGGTGAGTAATCCTTCCCTTGTGCGTAAACGCGAAGATAGGAACTACCCACCCAACCCCGCACTGATGTCTCCCCGAATGGTGAAGATACCTTTGTAAGCCAAGCCCGGCGAACAGATGAACAGCTACCCGATCATCTACTAATGAATGCACGCCAAGTGTCGGTATTCCAACAGATTGTCATCAGTGCTTGTGTTCGTTTGCCGCACTAAAAGGCCGTGGTGTGTAATATAAGCGAGTATAAAATTTAGAACGTATTTGAGCAAGTGTTAACTGTTAGTAGGCAGAGTGTAGGCTGGGACTAGAAGCCTTCTAACTACACTTTGCCGAATGATACACATAAGGTGCCCAGCATGAACACAAAGAGATGTTGCTGGTTCGGACAATTCATGGTTGCTGGATCCTGGTCAATCTGTCACGATCATGTCGAGCCAACTAGATTCTAGATTACCATCGTAAAGCATCAGAATGATCCAAACACGACTTCTCATCCAAGTTCTGTTCAACACTACAACGATTACGTGGTCGTTTCCCCCTGATGGATGAATTTCCGTTCTGAATATTTTTAACCCATATAAAAAAACCTCAGTCGCATCCGCTGCCGTCTTCAGGTGTGAGAGCAAGTTTATGTACTGCTGAATAGAGGAGTTCAAGATTTTCTTAGGGGAAATAGTCCAGCCCGAAAATGACAACCGTTCAGCTGTAACACCCTTCCAGTATCTAGCTGCCGTGACACACGACGGCTGAAATACTGCCAGCAGTCGAGATGCTGGATTTGGGTTCAAAACACGGAATTTCCGGTCGGAAAGTTTGCGCATTAGCCACCGAGCTATCTTGAGCCCAACCTTACTTACAGCAATCAGATGAGTTGGCAATCCAATGTAACAGAATTTCTAGACGATCCGTGTTCGGAGGCCAGCCGTCCCTAATAACCGAACACCACATCATTTGGACGGATGTGTCACGTGCAGAATACGGGCCAAACGAAGGCATGTCCTGATTGGTCAGAATGCCAGCCAATCCGAGTCAAGCCCCTTTGACTCGGCGCTATAAATACAGTAGTAATAACTTTCCTTTGTCTCCATAAAGGGCTGTGTAGGGCTACCGTGCCTTTTGCTATACCATAGTGGGCGGAGCAGGAAGCCAAGGGACCGATACAGAGTTGCACTACCGTTCAGCAAGTCACAACAATCCGTGTGATGACAAATAATGTGTGAAGCAGTGAAACTGTCGATGATGATGATGAATACTGTGTGGAATAAAATGAGAGGAGTCCGGTTATACGGAGCTCTTTGTAATCTGCATCTGTCCGCAGTTTTAGGACCATCTGATAGATGAGCTAGAATGTGGGGTAGATAAGAATGAAAGTGATCAATTCAGGTCGTCCCTGCGCAACCCAGGGTTCCAACTTTAAAGCGCCAACGCTTTGGGGCCCTGCACCAGCATAGAAAGACCTTGGTAGCTATGTCCTTGTACCGGTAGTCAGTGAATGACAGGAGCTGTAGCAAAGTAGCCTAAGAGTTCGAAGCAGGCGCTGGTGACAATATCGTCGCCGCAGCAGTCTGGCTGACCGAGAACATATGATGGTGCTGTATGCGGTCAGTAGTGTAAGACAGCGTGAAAAACGACGTGTCTTAAGGAAAACAGCGGCGAAACAGAACATCGGAATGATGGATTTACTTCAAATTGATTTCATTGTCACTATGCCACAGGATCTACACTCGCAATTTGCTAACTATAATGTTGTACAAAGAATAAAGAGAATTGTTGAAGAAATACACATTTGGTTATCTGGGGTAAATGTTCCTGAAGGGAGAGTCCAATGCAGAACAGTTCGTTAGGGATCTCGTCTTCGAAGTAAAGTCAATCCTATTGAAAAGTCTAGAATCACTGCCACTGTTTTGAATCCGTCGGAAATTGCCAGCAATGCACACCCCATAAACCTGCAGAAAGATTCGAACCCACAGCCTCTCGATTAGTAGTTGAAGACTATGCCGTTTCGATACGATGCGAATAACCTGAATTTCATGAGGATACAGTGCCAAGACCCTTCAGTTCCCATAAACTGTACGACATGGGGAGATTGCGAAGTCTAATGAACCCGTATGCCGTACGCAGTTTGTTCACATATGAAAATACGTAAGTCACCACAACCACTAACTCACCGCTACGCACAACTACGCACTGATGACGTCACCTCGATTGGTGATGAAACGTTTGCAACCAAATTGCCCAGCTCAGCGAACAAGCCAACGACCAATACGTAAGTCACCTTCAATCAGACAGGGGTGTCAATCAGGGAAATAGTCAACATCAAGTTGAGCCCCAACTGGTCCAGATTCACATCGTTGTTCACAAGGAAGACATGCATCGCGTATTAAAGTTGTTCTTAAGTCGAAAGGGCTATTCTGGGTGTCTGAAACGTTGATAACAAACACCTTCAATCAACCATATTTTCTCATAATTGTTCCATTTCAAACTAGTATCTTTCAAGGCCTTAGTGAAAAATAAATTGGACTATTTCCGAATTCATCACAAATTCATGAATTTGAGCGGACGTTCACACCGATACAATGGCTGCGACCAGCAACGTACCTCCGTGCCAAAGTCCGTCAATGAGAGACGTTCCAAGAGCTTGATCGTGTTCAAATCCAATTGGACACGAGGGGGCAGCGAACTGCGAGGTATGTGAAAGATGTCGGAGTTTTCTGAATCCTGTGAAAGGATTGCGCAGAGCACTACATAAGTGTCAGGTATGCAGCAAAATGAACGAAACAGCACTTCTATGGAGGCTACAAGCAACCGATGTGAATTTCTGCCATGATGAGTTCAATCACCATCATCATCATCGACAAGAGTTTTCTGTGTGAAAGGATTGCGCAGAGCACTACATAAGTGTCAGGTATGCAGCAAAATGAACGAAACAGCACTTCTATGGAGGCTACGCTACACCGATGTGAATTTCTGTCATGATGAGTTCAATCACCATCATCATCATCGACAACATGACATCAGTGTTCAAAACCGATGCTTCACAGCCGTACAACCATGACTTATTCGAAAGCCTTATTGTAAACAAAAGAGTAAAGGTGGACGGGGGAGGGACTTAGTGCTAGC